TCACTGTCACCACAGGGTCACCAAGGCAAAGGAAGATACATATAAAAAGGGACAGAAAAGATTTACATCTGCTCAGAAAGACCCTTCGAGTTGAATTTCAACCTTCCAAAGAGCAGAAGACAATCGGCATTCCTACTGACATTCACAAGGATACAGTGGCTGCACCAAAAGAACATAACCAGAATACCAGAGGGAAGTTCATACCGGTGAGGCATTCGGTTAGAGAGCGGAAACCCTCCATTCATTTGCTCCACTCTGTCGCTACTGCCAGATCCTGCGCATTGGTTCGCAGGTCACGAAAACTACTGCTGAATAAGGTTAGTTGTGAGGCCAGCCAGAATACAAAAAACACACGAGAGGAGCTCCCAAAAAAGGCACTTTCCATAAAGACCAAGAATGTCAGTCAGATACAAGACACTGTTCGTTTTTCTGCTGTTTCGGTGGACTCGATTTTTTCATCGAATGAGGACTTCAGGTGGTGGCCCACCTCAGCATCACCAGAAACTTTAAATGGAGAGTTGGCTAGGAGGATCAGGCTAATGTCCAACACTTGGGTATCAGATGTCCTGGAGGTTAACAAGTCAGGAGAGATTAAAACCGATCTTAAACCAAAACCTTGTGAGAAGCTCGATGGTTCTGCTAAGAAGTCTGCTTCTGCCATCAAAATGCTTTTTGAGAAAAACTATAATATGGAGAAGCTCTGTACTTGGTTTATGCAGTCCACGGAAACTCAGTCCCTTGCGATTGTAAAGAAGGCCACTGAAAGAAATCCCAAGGACGTCTTTCACTACAACCTCAGCAGACCCAATTGCAAAGTGAATGTTTTCTCAAGTCCACAAGCAGAGAGACTCGGGAAACATGTCAAGAAATTTGCTAAAGTCGTCCCAAAGAGTCCGTCAATGCACAAGCAAGCACAAGAAATGCTGTCCAAGTCAACAAGGTCACAAGCCAAGAGAAAACTTTTTAATACGTCATTTAAACCAAGGCATGATGTTAGGCAGCAAATCTCTATGTCTAGAAGGACATGGGTTGTCTACAGAACAGCTCTGCTTAGAGCCAGGCTAAAGTTTAAAACCAGGCCTAAGATAACATTAGGAGGCATTGTGGCACACAAATGTTTTCGTGACCAGATGAGGACAATGACTTCAGGTGCTAAGACTCTAGAATTATTGAAAGAAATGCCTAACTTGGTAGACAAGACATCCAGACCAGTCATGAAAGTTCAAAATGCATTAAAGCTTCTAGTCAAAACTCCTAAGAAAATGATTGGGATTGCCAATATTTCAAAGCAAATCAAAATCAGCTCCAAAGCTTGGAGTCCAGAGTCCCTAAAGGAGTGCAGAGTGTTTCTGAAAAAGATCAACTCCCCAAACACAAAGTCACTGACCGAGGAATGTAACATTTGCACAGTAAAGCTCTATGATGTCTCGGAGCAAGAGGAGAATGAGGATGTTACGTTGGGAGTGACACCTCCCAGTACAGGTAACTCTCCAGTACAGCTGCCCTCATCCCCAAAAAGCCAGAGCA